CATAAGCACCCAGCCCTTTTTTTTTTTTTTTTAAATGGGTTGTCTACACTTTCTGGTGGCTTGCCTTCTGGGCTTTCATGCTAAGTGGAATGGACCCACAGAGGTGAGGAAACCTGTGTGTCTCTGCTTGCCAAGTGACAATAATGATACAACTGCCCTTCTGAAGGATGGAGCAAAGGATGCTTTCCTGTGTACTGAGCAAAAGCCACCAGGACTCTGGGAAAAGGAGGATCAGACAGAGAAGGTAATGGAAGGAACTGACCAGCGCTGGCCCAATTCCAAGGGCAAAAGCATGAGTAAGGACACCCTCTGTAAAGTGCCCAACGTGGTTCCTGGGCCCCCGGTCCATCACAGCAAAGCCCCAAGTGGGGACAGCATCAGAGGAGGGTGGGTTTCTGCCAGGGTATGCTTATCTTAAAGAGGTCGGATCCTAGAGTCTACCAATCAACCCGTGGTGGAATACAGAGTCTGTTCTGAGGTTTCAAGGGAGGAATTCTATCAAAAGTCTTTCTATAATTCTTTCTTTCTTTCTTTTTTTAAAGAACGATCCTTTATCTTCTTTTCCCTGAAAAAGATTTGGGAGCAAGCATGGGGAAGAGGACTGTTAGGATGTGAGGATGCCTTTTCAATAGGATAAACACAGATAGATACAATTTAATACTTAAAAAAAAAAATCCCAGTATTTCAGTGTATATATATATGTATCAAGCCATAAGACACAAAATTAATAAGCTAAGGAAAAAAAAGATAATTACCAGTTTATCAACACTCAAAGGCATTGCTTTGGGTCCACTGACAAATTTTTTTTACTGATATGACATTCAGCTTCATACTGAAAATTAGCACAGAAACTTACCCCGAGTTTTGGGGATAGGAAGTTGATTGGATTTGATCTAAAGATGTAATCCATGACTTCTCGGTCATACGCTCCAATTTTTTATCAATCTTTTCTAAAGTACTTCAAGTCTCTTATTTTTTGACTTTTAATAAAATTATTTTGAAACAATAATAGTATATGACTGAAAAAATATCAGAATCAACACATTTTTATTCGCCTAGAAGCTGGCCAAAAATACGTAAGAACACACACTGCATGGGTTAGCGATCTTTGTTTCTACCTCATGAAGACTCTTCCATATTTAAATGTGAGTCACAGGAGTCAAATCCAACTAAGGTAGACTGAACTAATTTCAAAAGAAAAACAATCTTGGCTTCCTTTAGGAACAAATAAGAAATGTACCGAGTCAGCTCCATGAGTGAAAGGACAGGGCTAGGCCACATTTTAGATCTCAGTGTCTGTTTTGTTCATGGGTTCTAGTTCTACAGGCTAAAGGTGGCCTCACCGTTGAGTCCTGCGATGGGTTATTTTAAGAAGGAAGATGGGATACTTAAGCTCAAGTGTAAGGGGAGGGCAGCTGATGTGCTATATCAAAATAACATGCCTCCCTTGTAGCAGCCAGACTAAAGGAATGTAAAAGAATAAAACTGCAATAAGCAAGAAGAAGAAAAAAGAGAGGAAAAGAGGCAGAGGAAAGGGAAGATAAATTAGGGAAGATGTAGCCCTGAAACAGGATTATTTTCTCAAGCACAGATCAGCAAGCTTTTTCTTAAAGTCCAGATAGTAAACACTCTAGGCTTTGTGGACTGTATGCAGGCATCCAACTCTGCTGTTGTAGTGTGAAAGCACAGACAACTGGTGAACAAATGGGCATGACAATGTTCTAATATAATTTTATTTACAAAAGTAAGTGGCCAGCCCATGGTTTGCAGACCCTTGAAATATCTGTAGGCCAAGGGTAGCCTGCGCTGGTTGACTGAAATAAAAAAGAGGAGGTGCACCTCCCTGGGCTGATGGCCGGCACCTGCGGGTATTCCAGAGTCCCCCAGCCAGCCCAGTCCCAGGTGCTGTGACAGGACACCAGACTTGCTGATGGTGACACTATAGCATCGCCAGCTTGCATCACATGGCATGTTGTCCTTTTCCTATGTAGCTCTTAGGTCCACCAATCAGTAGGAACGTTGCCCATTAATGCTCTCATTTATGTGTGACAGCTTCAGCTCTCAGCACAGAATCCATCCAATGGCAGAAGAGAGACCACTGGAATAAATGAAATCCTTGATTCAAACTGTCTCGAAGTAATGCTTTTTACTGATGACCTATCTCAACAGTGAGAAACTCACCTGGGCAGTGTGTTCAGTATAAAAAATCCCATTAGAAAGCACCATAGAGGTAAAGGGATGATTAGCTACACCTCTTCTATCCATACTATTATGTGGATAATGAGGCACGAAACTACAGCATAAGATATTTTTTCTTTTTCCAAGACAAGGCTTGTGTGGAAATCTTAATTAATTACAGACACAACAGAACTGGCCTAGTTAAGGAACCCAAAAGACCAGCGATTACTGATCAACAGATACAAATAACATTCTTATGTAGGAAGCTTCAAGAGCAGAACAAAATTTTGTGGCCTTCCTGCTGCGCTGCATGATTGCTACTAGTCTGAGGAAGTGCAAGGGGCAAGCCCCTAGACCCTGCCAGAGAGGCTGTCTCTGGGCTGTCCTCCCATGTGACAGAAAATGGCTCTCATGAAGAGGGCCGCTTTTCCAGATGTCTCCCAGCCCCTCTGGAAGCTCAGAGGGGAGACCAGTGTCCTCTGGCTATCAAGTTTGCTCCATCATTGGGGCAGCTGCTTCACTTGGTACAGGCCCGGGAGCAGAATTCAACTTCTGATTTAGAACCTGGAGTGAAGGACAGACTGCTGCTGGGGTGCCTGGTGGAAAGCTGTACCGTGAAGATGGCCACAGAAGGAGGCCTTGGCAAAGGAGGGAAAACAAGGGGGAACTTGAATCGATACCAAGCCTGGGGCTTGGAGGCATCTGGTGACAGGTTTGCCAGCATCTGCCGTAGGTGTGAAAGGACCTTTCGGAGGAGGGCCTCGAGATTTTTTTTTTTTTTTTTTCCTTTTCTTTTCTTCTATTAGCAAAATGATCTGAGTCAACAAGAATGATATTCAACAAATATAAAAGCAATTCTAAACTAAGTGTCCTAATTATGTAGAAACCCAGTCTATCTAAACATAGTCACAATTATAAAGCATAATTTTAAAGGTGATCCATTGCATTGTTAGGTATGTAAAATAAATACATACTCATTGACATCTTTTCTCAAATGCAGGCTAGAATGGGAGAGAAGGCTATATTATTGTGAAAAAGAAGTGAGAAAAGTAATGGAATGAATTCGAAATCTAGAATTGGAAAAGTTCCACCCATTTACTGCCTCACACCTCTCCCTACCAAGCACTCTTACAAGGTAGTCTATGTGTGGCCAGAGGGCACCTCAAATGTATGCACAGAAACCAGAACACCCGACAGCGGCAAATATCAGATGTTTAAGTCTCACGAAAACAATATCCAGTGACAACTATATGGAAAGGTATATATTTTTTAAACTTTAAAACTTTTTTTTTTTAGATTAAATGAACCCACTCAAAACATATTAATGCTTCTGTGCAACTTAATGCTGAGAGAGCGCTGCCGACATACACACTCAGCAGTTTCATTAAGAGAGTAGCTCTGAATGGCTGAAGTCAAAGACACCATACAGGAAAAAGAAAAGGTTCATGGGAGAGAGGAGACTTAAAAAAAAAAAAAAAAAAAAAATCAGAGCTTCACTGAAGACAGTAAGCTTTACTACCTATGAAATTCAACAAAATTCCCAATTTCCCATGAATCAAATGCCCTTCTCTAGGCCTAGCCAATCATCAGAAGTTTGCACTATCTACATTAAACCTTTAATAAAATGTGTAGAAGAAGGTTTATTTTATCACGATTTGAATGAACTAATGCATTTGCAAAAAGTGCATTAAAAATAATGCCTTAAAAAAAAAGTCCATCTGGATTTAGCTAAAGATATCAGAAACAACCTAAACAAATGGAAAACTTTTAATGAAAAGAAGAGGGCAGCAGCTGTCCACCAAGCCTGTTTTGGTGACAGAGCAAATTAAAGAAGCTAGTTGAAGCTTTAACCACCAAGCCTGTGTTGTGGAGCAGCCCCGTCGGCATGCCAGGAACACACTGTGTTACAGGAAATAATGGAGCAATGTCATAGGCACCTAGTTAGAGCCCAGGTTCATCTGGGGAAAGAAAGCAACGTGAGTTTCAAATACTGCAGCTCTCACATTTGAGTCATGAAACACAGCCTGACGGAGGTGGGTAGGAATGATACTTAAAAGCATTTTACTACCAGTAAGATGCTCAACAAATCAGAATGGACAGCCACTCTAAACAAGTGTGCTCACCACAACGGAGCACACAGTGGAACATCAGCTCTGAGTACAGGGCTCAGCAAGACATGTTGGAGCTGCTTCCTTCAACCGCAAGATTATTCTGACCTTCATATAACTCTAGTTTCTTTTCTGGATCTGGTGCCAAAGGAATGGGATGCTCACAGAAACCCTGGGCCACATGTAAACCACCTGGTCTCTGCTCTGCAGGTTTTGTTCATTATCTAGCCCATGAACACCCTGGCACAATGCAAAGGGAAAAAAAGAATCTTAATGTAAAACTTGGACTGGGGAACATTTGTGGGTGACAACCACATGCAAATGTGCCCCCAAACCCATGCACACACATATTGTTAAACTTTTCTATTATTTTCTATTTGGGTTTCTTTGAATATGGAAGTACTCTGAAAGAAAATTAGAAAAAGCTGTTCTCATCCTAATCCTCAAATTTCTAGCTGTAAGATGAAAAGGAAAAAACAAACCCTAGACTTTTTTTCTCAAGTAGGATGAAAACCTTGTTACAAGGTCAAACTTTGAAGAGGATGGTAAGAATCAGGAATACAGTTTGGGGATGCAAATAATTTTTAGAGATCACAAACAAATATTAACACCTGTGACATACCTGTTGTCCTAAGGGCACATAATTTAGAATACACGACCTTATATGTCTTCAGATGACAAAAGATCATAAAGGAGTGATCAACAATGAATATGTTTTTTTTTAAAAAGGGGGTAACAGAAATACTAATCTTTTATAATAACTACAAATCCCCTCTGCATTCTCCATATATCATAAAAATGATTTGGTTTAGCTTTCAAATATTACTTAAACAAACAAACAGGTAAGGTAGAGAGGGAAGTTTACGGCTGGGGTTTGCAAAATGGTATCCGTTCATGTACGGATGCTGCAGTGTAGTTGCTGAAAAGCTACTTTGATGTGTATGAGGGGGGTCTTCTCGGCTACAGTACAAGTGCTTGTGCATCAAGTATAAAATACAAGCCTTTAATCACATAGATCAGCTTTTTAGCTTTTGTAAATTTAAAAACAAAAAGGATAAATAAGGCACTGTACTTTTAAAAACTAAAACTGCTTGGTTCCAAGTTCAAAACCCAAGGAACAACCAGAATATAATATATAACTTCCCTTACTCAGCCTCAGAGAAAGACTCTGCAAGTTCCCTTCTCCATCTGAGATGGATTTGCTGACACCTCAAACTGTGGTGTTCTCCATTAGCTGCAGGTTTGAAAGGCTTGGTAAGCTTATAAAAGCAGATTCAGTTAATGCAAAATAAAGGGTTACTTCTAGGCAATAGTTTCACTCTGGCTGCCATCCTGCAAATCACTTGGCATCCAGCCGTCTGCGTTTGCTGTGGAAAGAGTCCAGCTTAGCCTTCAGCTTTCGCTTTCTCTGGGCAGCACTATTCTCTGGGCTTTTCACTGAGGATCTGGCCCGAGCCTTCCCACTGCTCTGCTTCCTGTTCATGGACTTCTGTGGCTTTGAAGAGGATTCACCTGCCCCTTTATGCTTTGCCGTTTTAGGCGGTGTTTCTGAGACGGTGGGCTGGGTGGGTCTTTTGTTGGTGCTCTCTTTTTCTTTCCTGGAGGGAGGGCAGCCCTTCCCAGGGGACTTTTTAGGGATCTTCACTTTATTTTCTTTCAGAGAGATCTTTTTGGGCAGTTGGCTGATTTTGTCTCTTGAAGCTGGCTTCTTGGCAGCAGGGGTTTTGGTGGATCCGTCAACATGCTTTTCTTTGCTGGCTTTCACTGCGGGTCCCTTGTCCTTGCTGGAGGGAAGAGACCTGTCCTGAGTGTTGCCTTCTGTTCTCTTTCTTTTATTCGGAACTTCTGCTGTCAGCAGGCTTTCAGACACCTGCTTCCCTTTCCGTCCCTTCACTCCCTCGGTATTCTTGGGCTTGACAGGAAACCCATTTGCATCTACTTGCAGGGCAAGCCTGGGGGACATCAGAGGGTTGATGCACACACTCTTACGACTCTGTTTACTTTCCACAGCTACATCAAGCGGGCTTTCTATTTTCTCATTCTTGAGCAAACGCTGCTGGGCTCTAAGCTTTCCTCGAATATTGGAATATTTTCTAAGGATCCGAGTACTGGCGGGAGTAGGCCAGTTTGCGGGAGGATGGCTCTTCCGCTCTTCTTTGACTTCCTCTTCACTGCCTTCAGAGTTAGGGCCGAGGCTGACATCACTACCATCCTCTGCCTCCACTTGATCAGGATTCTCTCGAAATTTAGCCCAGAGCTTCTGTGTTTTCCAATTATTCCTAACAGGAGTTGCTCCAGGGAATTTCTTTAAGTGTTTTTTCAAGCGCTCAGCCTGGAGTGAGCTTGGGTACAGGCTGGAAGGAGGGTATTTCTGAAGAGGATGCTTAACAGGGGGGGTGTCTCCTGGAAGACGAGTATTGAGCTTCTTCACAATCACCAGAGATCGGGTTTCAGTCGTCTCTAAGAACCATTTACAGACAGCAGATAATTTACAGTTCGTCATAAATAGCATCTGAACAGGCGAAAACTTTTGAACTTCCAATGAACCCCTGCATTTCCGTGACCTTTTCTTGCTTTTCCAAATCTCCTTCAGTTTATCCGACTTGTTCCTTGCTCTTGGTGTTGGCTGTGCTTCTTTCTCCAACTGGATCCAGCCCTTCTGAATTTTCATGTACTGGGCGTTGAAGTTGGCAATCAGCTCTTGGTTCTCCTCTTCAGCACACCATTCTACAAACTTTGGTTGGTCGTCTAACACTCTGTCCACATTGTCCTCTTCTAAGGGTTCTCCACTCTCGGAAGCTTCATTTTCCTTCGGCATCGGGTTTACTAGGGCACCTTCCTTTTCTAAAGTCACTCTTGTAGTTTCCACGGAGTCCAGCGAATGGGGGTGTCTTAGATTGTAGGTTGAAGAAGTCACTCTTTTAGGCCTTGGTATCACTTTTGGTGGCTCAGCAGTATCACCATGTCCACTACTGGACAATTCAAGTGAGCTAGATGGTGCATCGTTACCACCTTCTTCACGCTGGGGGCTTTCACTGTCTACCTCACTGACAGCCTTTTCCATGTCCTGTTTGGGCATATGTCTTGGCTTCTCTTTGGATTGTTCTGGCTCTCTCTTACAAGGAATTCTTTCAGAGGGAACATGAGCGTTTTTCACACATATCTTAGACTGAACACAGATTTCCAGTCTCTCTCCAGGCAGGGGCTGGCCAACTGTCATGGGATCACTGCTGAGGACGATTTCTCGTTTTTCTGCCTTGACTTCCTTTGCCAGCATGTTTTTAAAAGTCTGCCTGGTGATGATTCCCCCTCTGTCACCCTTCTGCTCAGCATCTCTCTCAGAGGGATTTTCATCGACATTTGGGTTTTCAGTGTTCTCCAGAGATTTTGTACGGAAACTGCCCGCCAGAAAGTCATCAGGTGCTGTCCTACTAGGGTACCCTTCTTTTTTAGAACGTCTTGCAGTATAACTTTTACAAACTTTGATCTCAGGACAAGCAGAGGAAGAGTCCGAAAGCTGACTTCTCAGGCACCTATCAATAGAGGAAGAGTCCGAAAGCTGACTTCTCAGGCACCTATCAGAGGCCTCGGGGAATTTTTTACCTTTTTTCTTCTTGTCCAAATTCTCTTCAGGAGATTCAATGTTTTGATCACGTGTACCTTTTTTTGAAGGATGTCTGACATCACTCCCTTCTTCTAATTTTCCTGTATCACCTGTTGCCTTCCTTTCCTCAACTTCACTGGGGTTTTCATTAGTAAAAACACTATTTTCCCTCAAGAGTGAGTAAGTACTGAGGTCCTGAATGTCTTCAATCTTGGCCCCAGGACCAACGTTTGTCTCACTCCCAGGAATGACACTTGTCTCAGCTCCAGGACTGACACTTGTCTCGACCCCAGAACTGACACTTGTCTCAGTTCCAGGACTGACACTTGTTTCAGGTTCAGGACTGATGCTCGTCTGGGCCCCAGGACTGAAGCTTGTCTCGACCGTAGGACTGACACTTGTCTGGGCCCAAGGACTGACACTTGTCTCAGAGCCAGGGCTAATGCTTGACTCGGTTCCAGGGATGACACTTGTCTCAGCCTCAAGACTGATACTTGTCTGGGCACCAGGACTGAAGCTTGTCTCGACCCCAGGACCAATGCCTATCTGGGCTTCAGGACCAATGCCTGCCTGGGCTTCAGGACTGATGCCTGTCTGGGGCCCAGGACTGACGCCTGTCCGGGCCTCAGGACTGACACCTGTCTGGGCCTCAGGGCTGACGCTTGTCTCGGCCTCAAGATTGATGCTTGTCTCAGCCTCAGGACTGACACCTCTCTTGGCCTCAGGACTGATACTTGTCTCGGTCCTAGGACTAATGCTCGCTTTGGCTCCAGGACTGAGGCTTGTTTTGGCCTCAGGACCAACACTGGTCTCGGCCTCAGGACCGACGCTCGTCTTGGCCTCAGGACCAACACTGGTCTCGGCCTCAGGACCAACACTGGTCTCGGCCTCAGGACCGACACTGGTCTCGGCCCCAGGACCGACACTGGTCTCGGCCCCAGGACCGACGCTCGTCTCGGTCCCAGGACTGAGGCTTGTTTTGGCCTCAGAACCGACTCTTGTCTCGGCCTCAGGGCTGACACTTGTCTCGGCCTCAGAACTGATCCTTTCACTTTCCTCAGCCTTTCCTGGACTCACAAGAGGCTTCGAGTCCACTGGGTGACTTTGATTTTCTGAGCAAAGAGGACCTTCTTCTCTACTGACTATTTTAGAAGAAAGAACTTCATTGCTTCCCTCAGAAATGCTCTCAGTAGGGGGAACCAGGTGACAGCCTTGGGAAGCACTCATCTCCTCTGTATCTAGCAGTTCAAGTGGTTGTTGGTCTTGCTCAGGGGAAGATACCCTACTTGCTGTGAGAGCTGAGACCATGGTGCTGTCTTCTGGCATGTCCTCTTCAGGGAGGTGAGCAGGGAGAGGCCACTCCAGGCTGGAGGCTATCATTTCCTTTGACTTGGGGATATTGTTCTGATTCAGCTCATCCATCACGGGGCAAACCTCAGGCTGTTGAGATTCTTTTTCAGATGAACTGTTTCTGTCTCCTTCCTTGTGGGGGATAATTTCCTGATTAGGTTCTTCAGGGCTGTCTTCTCTAGGAAGCTGCACATCTACTATAGGTCTAGGGGCTGAAACTGTAAGGGTCTGCTTGGGAGCAACTACTGCCTCTGACACCAGTGTTGAGCAGCTGGCTTTGTCCTGGGAGTGTAAATTTCTGGCCAGTGTGCGAACAGTTGGCAACTCACAACAATCACCATTGAAAAAATACCCTCGAGTACTCTTTCTGGCTGTTTTCCGAGATGATAATATTGATCTTTGATTTTCAAAATGGCATTCTGTTATTGGTTGACTGATATAAACAACATCACACTGGTTATCGTAATCGTTTATCCTCAACCCTGATGCCCTTTTACTTTTCCGAGCAGTCTTGATGGAGGTTGATATCGTCTTGGTTCGTGAATGTCCGTTAGATGCTTTGTGCAGAGCTGGCATGGGGCTGGGGGCTAACCAACCATCTTTGGAATGATCATACTGGCCCTTATCACTGGGATATAAATGGTAACCCACCTTATTTCTTCCTAGTGAGTGAAGATGGTTCTCTTGCTTTGGCCTTGCATCTTGTTCATTTGCCTCTAAATCCTGGTGCAAAGGCGTTTTTGAGCTACTTTGTAACGCATTCTCTTTGTCAGCAGTTCTAGGCAAGTTCCCCACAAACCCTGAGTCCCAAGCCTCTTCTGATAAAGCTTTGACTGAATTTCTTTCAGAAACAATACAGCTGTTGCCCTCTTCACTGTTCTCAGCTGCCACTTTTACTGCAATTAGACTTTCTACTAATGCTGAACTCTGCATACGGTCTTTACCATCCTCGCATACTTTTGCATTTATGTCTTGCTCCTGTCCAGTGGTTTGCCCCTCCACATTTTTAGAGAGGTGGTGGAAGTTTAATGAGGAAGAATTAGATGCAGTGAGGTATCCCAGAGTGGAACTATCCATTGAACTACTAGAATTAGGTTTAGTGGTTGGAAGTTCAGAGAAATCTTTCTGGACATTCATCAAGGCATTCTCTCTTCCATCTACCAAGTTTGTCTCAGAAGAAGGTTCCATAGGGGTTTGTTCTGTCAAGTGTAGAGAGCTGTGTGAGTCTGCTGGGTCTATGGACAAATCTATAGAGGTGGGAGACTTCATACTGAGACACATAGCATCCTTTTCCTTATGTTTGGTGCTCAGCTGGGCACAGCCAGCACTGCAAGTGGATGCCTCCATTGCTCCGGAATCAGAAGGTGGCAGGGCTTCTGTGCCTGGCTGAGCTTCAGTGTACAAGTCGTTCAGAACACGAATGAACTGCTTCTGATGATGAGTGCACAATTTGACCATAAACTTCTCCAGTGGGGTCTTCGATTGATTGTTAGAATCTACTGCTATTGCTTCTGTTGAGTTCTCACTAGACAGACAAAGAGAGAGACGGAATTAGTATGGTCATTTTTCAAAGAACTGTTTTCACATCAGGAAGTTCACCTGATGTTATTCCTATCATAAAAAGAGTGGGTGCTCTGGCCAAAAGTGCTTTTAAGTGTGCCCAGATACTTTTGAGTCAACAAATAAGAAGTATACATCTAACTGAAATGCAAAGCCAGCCTTGTTATATTTTCAATTTTTGGTGACAATATCCTTCACATTTTTAAATGGCCATTCAGAAATAATCTTTATCTTATAGAGAAAAAAACGTCATTAAAAATAAAAATTTTTCAAAATAAATTTTAGCTACACTATTAACTCAGGAGCTCTGGTAGCATAGAGCCTAAGGCATGTGACTGCTAACCAGAAGGCTGGCAGTTCAAACCCACCAGGCACTGCTCGGGAGGAAGACTGGATAATCTACTTCTGTAGAGATACTGCCTCAGAAACCCAAGGAGGGATCACTATGAGTTGGGATCAACTCAATGGCAGTGAGCTTGGCTTTTTTTTTTTTTTGTATTTATTAACTCCAGTTGGTTAATATATACTTTTGTATCAGGCCTGGGCATTCCTGTTAAATAATCATTGGTTTAGAAGTCTACAATACAAACATATTATATTACAAAACTCACTTTAGAAGTACTTAGAGAACATAGAGTTTTAAGATGGTTTTTCCACAAGACCTATTGACTGGACTTTATAATATTGCTGTCAGTAATGTAGGAGTCCCTCTACCCCTCTTCTGGGATGTGGAGGAATAAAGATCACTAACTTCATGTTTCAGACTCTGAACGATGGAATGAAGAGTCGATTCCTGATTCCTAGCTGTGAGGATACATATGTGAAATCACATTTTGAATTGTAAAATCCTGTCAATGCAATGTAGCATAATTATGTCTGCACTGAAGCATCACTTGTTACAGTGGCCTAGACCTTCAATAAACATCTTACAGTCTTCTACAGAAAGTCATTCTACTTAGAGAATACTTTTCAATCATTTCTGTACATTATCCAGGTCAAACTCCTAGAGCTTAACCTGGACAAAAAAGATAGTGGGCAAGGATGATCTTAGATTCAAGACAGGTAAAGGTAGTTCCTGCTTACAAAACAAGACTTTTCACAGCTGGATGTCTGGGCTTTACTAAGCCAATATAGCTGGAGTGCTCCAATTTCTTGTAGTTTTATACAGCTTCTCAATCTCTCTCTTTCTCTGGAATGTAATTCCCCTGAAGACCATTATCTGACTCTATATGTAACATTTTGCCATGTAACATGGCAGAGCACCAAGGGCAACTTAATAAATGTGTGCTGAATAGATGTTGTTTGATAATATCTTCCAGCTAAATCTTTTTCTTTTCAATATTTGACTTTTATCTTTCAGTTGCAAGGTACCTTTATAGGAAGGCTTTCCCTAGACAGCCTCCATTACACCCCCTTTGCCACTCTGCCTCTGGCCTCTGAAGCAGTGTGGTTATACGGGAAAGAGCACAGGTTGTGGAATATGAAGACCTAGATTCCACTTCTAGTTCTGACATTCACTTCTAAAGGACCTTAGGTAAATTACTTCATCTCTTAGAATTTCTGTTTCCTCATCTGAAGTTGAGACTGAATATCTAAAAGGATTGTTGTGAGGGTTATATTACAACATACATAGAGCACAAAGCACAAAATAGAAGTTACTCAAACAATTTTTAAGGTTTGGTGGTGATTAAAGTTGCTGAAACGTGTCTAAATAAAAATAATAAAAAAAAAACAGCTAAAAATTTATCAGTCATATCTGCTGCTTAACCTAAACTACTTTACAAGAGAAAAGACTAGCTACACTGTGTTTTTATTTCCACAAGCAAGAATTTGGTTCAGTGGTGCCATGGGTATCTGAAAGGGCCTATATTACACTATAGATTGTAAAGACTAAAAATGTCTCAGAAAATGCCTACCTCAAACTTGCCAATATTCAACTGAGTTGAGAATAAAATAAGAAAAGAAGATTGTAACCAAAGTATTATACAGGTGAATGGTTATAGTGGACTCTAAAGCACATGCTGGCAATGGGGCCAAACTCTATGAAAGAGAAGATCAAAAGCAACTAGAACAAACTCACTGAGCTGGACATACATTTATAATACATACACTGTACTTCAGTAAACAGTTTTAAAATGGCAGTATGTGAATGGTCAACAGGAAGAAGCCCCTCCTGCTGTGTGAAAGTGGCAAATATTATCGCCTACCTTCAGAAAAGGGAAGACACCAGTAATAATACCCTTGGATAAGTGACTGTTAAGTCATTTCCAACTCTTGGACTCAATGAGATATGCACAGGAGCTCAAGAGACTCCTTGTGCAGTTGCAGACTTCCTAAGTGCTGCACCTGGGGGGCAGCTTAGCAAGCTGGGACTGGGAAGACCAATGCATGAGGAGGTTGGTGGCCACCTCATGAAGAAGTTGGAAGAAGGGCTCTGTTGCAAGGCCCTTCTGGGAGGTACTTTGTGGGTATGTATTAGGCAATACCAGCAGCATAACAGGTGTTCGGACAGTACGTGAGACAGTGCAGAGTGGTTCAGTCACTTACTAGTTGTGTGATTCTGGCCAAAACAAAATTTAAGTCTTAGTTAGTAGGGTATCTGCCTTAGCTACCACTTAGGATCGCTACAAAGGAAAACCTGCAAAGTTTGCACAAATACCAGTACCATTACTGTCAGCCAATCAAATCAAGCATGCTTCCAGGAAAAATAACTCAGAGATCAAGAATGTGCATTAATGCTTTCTTACAATTTAAAAAACTGAGTTTCTAGATAATAAGTTTGTCCTTTAAGTACCACTTACAATTTTTAATATTTTAGATGGATATTTAAAAAAATGCATTGTTTGCTGAACACAATGTATTTTTTTCTTAATGACTCAGGATCATTATCATGTACATTATTTTTGAAGTTTGGCTATTACTTTTACTATACCGAACTGAAATGTATTAATGTTTTGGGATCCATTCCATTAAGTAAATCCAACTGCCTAAATCCAACAGCCTAAATCCGACAATCTAGTGATGTTCTTCTGTGTTTTATTAGAATCTGTCTTACTGGCTTCCAGATAGTCAGCAGATATTTTTAGCAGCCCACTTACACCATTAGTACAGTACTTCTACTCATTAGCTAAGAAACCAGATCCCAAGTGCTAGAGTGGGACTTTAGTAAAAATAAATGAATGAGGACTTAAGGAATGGTTTTATGAGTAAAGTACATGGATTTTCCAACAACTTTGGCTGCTCAGGGGTCTCTTCCTTAGTTCATGGTTCTTGGGAATGATGCTGATATTTCTGAGGTGAATGACTACAAATAAATAGAATATTATTGCCTTATCAATGCATCAAATAATGTACTTTACATGAATTTTAGCAATACACAAAAAACACTGACTAAAGTCTCTGGGGAAGATTCATGTTAAGAAGTATCATGGCATCTTACTATACAGCATGCAAGGGCTACCTAAACATAGAAAAAAGTGACGAGATGAATGGTTCTACTTCAAGAAGCACACATCATCACCAAAAGTCTTTGAGAAAATCTTCCAGATGCTATTCCATCCTGGAATCATGCTTTAGTACTTGAGACTAGCATTATGCTTGGAGATGAATAAAATCAAGGCATGTGCCTATTAAGAGGGCAGAGAACTCTGAAGAAAACTGAGGAAGTCTCTTTCACAGTAAAGCCCACATACAGTGAAAAACTGAATAATGATTTATCTGTGGGAAAGCTAAACGAAAAACAAAAATCAAATGAGTTGCTGTAGAGTTGATTCTGATTCATGGTGACCCCCTATGTCAGGGTAGAACTGTACCCCACAGGACTTTCAATGACTGAGTTTTTGGAAGTATTATCACCAGGCTTGTCTTGTAAGGCACCTCCCGGTAATTGTTAACCACCAACCTTTCAGTTAATAGTAGCACACTTGTTCCCAGGGACTGCAGGAAAACTAGGCAATGATTATGTCCAACTTCCTTTATGGTTTTGAATTTGGATCTGCTGCTGTTCCATGTTTCAATAATTTAATAGAGCTTCAATATTTTAATCAGCCTCCATTAATGTAAGGTTTTCCAAGGGCCATGGAACCACCCCTTAAACAATGACTGTTCAAATATAGCTCAGCTAGTTCTCAAGGAAGGAGCTCTGGTAGCGTAGTACCTAAGGCACTTGACTGCTAACCAGAAAGCTAGCGGTTCAAACCCACCAGCCACTCCCCAGAAGGAAGGTTGGGCAATCTACTCCTGTAGTGACACAGCCTTGGAAACCCAAGGAGGGGTCGCTATGAGTCGAGTCCGACTCAACTGCAAATAACAACAACAACAGTCCTCAAGGACAGAACAGAACAGACCACCATAGGTAGGTAGTTATCTTATCC